GTCTGTGTTTACAGCTAAGGGATGAAACAAAGGCTGCATCCAAACATGCCTTCTTACATATGTCACCTAATCTGATCCCTTCTCTCCTGTCCCGTTATTTCAACACTGAGGTGAGCACGGTTCTCTCAATGCGACATGGACACTTTGTTAAAGTTTTTTCAACCGGCAGTCCTTTCACTGCAGCCCTGTATTGGCGATTGTGGTGCATATTCGTTTCTGGCCTAGATAGGTGTGGCTTTCAAGTCCGAATAATCTGGCGTCAGATTAACACTTTGCATCGCCTTTGTTTCATGCCTTAATATTCAGGCCCCGGGATCCCCTTTTTTTGTGCGTCGGGTCCAGATTTTTTTGCTCCCACTCTGGGCTGATGAAATCGTGATGATGAAATGCTGTACATTCTTGCCATGCATACTCGTTGTGTGTTTTTGCAGGAGACGGCACTGAATAATTTTGGTGCGCTTGGTGATTTCCTGGATCAGTATGCGAGCATTTGCAATGAGATAATCACATTTTTGGCGCACACACTTCTGCGTCTCTTCGATGTGGCCAACAATATCAGCTCACCGGTGGAGATATTCACAAATTTCTGCATCTTCCTGCTCACCTTGCTATTCTCTGTGTTTCGCTTTCTGCTCCATGAAGTCATCTATCTCATTACGGCTCCAATTCGAATTTCCTTCACCTTACTTGTCTCGCATCCGTTAATCTTAATGACCCTCGTACTACTCTCGCTGCTTACATGCACTGCTTTCATCCTCATTATCAAGCAAATCTCGATCCTCGGAGTTCTCAGTGCCTCAGCCAGATTCATTGCACCGTTCGTCGGCCAGCTCTTCTATACCGTCTTTCTGTATCTTTACCCACAGTACTTCCTCATCGTCCGTGCTTTGCATTTGCTATTTGTTCCCGTAAAATTCCTGCTGAAGCCGTTTATTGCTTTTTTGGAATTTTTCGGTGCCTCAAAACGACGACGGCTGCGAGGGCGTCGTGCGTCGGGATGTGACAACAGTGAGGTCAGTCGTATAATGTGCTGCGTTTGCTTCATTCACGAGAAGTCCATTCTGCTGCAGCCTTGTAATCACATTTGTCTCTGTGCAAATTGCATTGAGGAGCTGCTCGATACATATGAGGTACCACTGTGTCCACTTTGCCGTGCAACCATTACCTCATACGTTGATGTATACTTGTAAATGCCCGTGTATTTGTGAGAAATGCTCTCGATTTTGCTGATGTACACAAAAAAGACCCTTTCGGAAAATATATTAGCTGGAAAGCTTGGAACTCCGGGCTTTAAGCGAAACTGCAGCGAAAACCGAATTTTGGAGGATTTGCA